ATGAAATGGCACAAGGACATGGGTTGGTTTGTTTGTAATGTCCTTTGTTAAGCAAAATAAAAATTTGGCAACCTGTTGGGTTTTCTCCCCACTCTGTTGCTACCCTGGGTTTTTCTTAATGGATGCTTGTAGTTGACCAGGACGTACCTGGATGAGTCTCTGTGCTAACCATCTTGAGTAGCCGTAACAAAAGACCACAGACTGGGCTCCTTAAACAACAGAAATTTATTTTCTCACAGCTCTGGAGGCTGGAAATCCAGATCAAGGTGCTGGTTGATTTGGTCCCTTGTGAAGGCTCTCTCCTGGCTTGAAGATGACCTCTCTGTCCACACCTCTGTGTTTGCAAAGGGGTGGGGGGGGAGAAGGAGAGAAAAAGAGAGAGGATGAGCACAGGAGCTCTTTGGTGTCTCTTCCTACAGGCACACTAATCCTATGCAATCAAGGCCCCACCCTGTGATCTCATCTAACCCTAAGAATTCCTCAGAGGCTTGGTCTCCAAACACAGCCACACCGAGGGCTAGGGCTCCAGTGCACAGACTGTGGGGATGCAAACATTTAGTCCACGGCAGCCCCTTTCANAGAATATCCGTCAGTGGTGGAAAAACAGTGGCAAAAATCTCTTTGTGATCCCGACTTTGTCTGTCCTTTCTGGTGTTTCTAAGCTTGCCATCACTATACGTGGTCACTTTGTTCATCACGACTTCAGGCCATTCCAGGGGCTGTCCATCAGCAGACTGCAGACAGACTCTTACAAAGGCGGACGAGGTCAGGATAATGTCGTCAGCACAGACATGCTTCTCTGATATAGCTTGTGCATGTGGGTCAGCCTGCGGATGCCCAGGGGCATTTCTTAAAAACAATGGGTCCTTGTTCTGAGAGCACTTCCTTCATTGTTGTTATTAAAGTGACTCTTCTTCCATGAAATGGCACAAGGACATGGGTTGGTTTGTTTGTAATGTCCTTTGTTAAGCAAAATAAAGATTTGGCAACCTGTTGGGTTTTCTCCCCACTCTGTTGCTACCCTGGATTTTTCTTAATGGATGCTTGTAGTTGACCAGGACATACCTGGATGAGTCTCTGTGCTAACCATCTTGAGTAGCCGTAACAAAAGACCACAGACTGGGCTCCTTAAACAACAGAAATTTATTTTCTCACAGCTCTGGAGGCTGGAAATCCAGATCAAGGTGCTGGTTGATTTGGTCCCTTGTGAAGGCTCTCTCCTGGCTTGAAGATGACCTCTCTGTCCACACCTCTGTGTTTGCAAGGCGGGGGAGGGGGAGAAGGAGAGAAAAAGAGAGAGGATGAGCACAGGAGCTCTTTGGTGTCTCTTCCTACAAGCACACTAATCCTGCGCAATCAAGGCCCCACCCTGTGATCTCATCTAACCCTAAGAATTCCTCAGAGGCTCCATCTCCAAACACAGCCACACCGAGATCTAGGGCTCCAGTGCACAGACTGTGGGGATGCAAACATTTAGTCCACGGCAGCCCCTTTCATTGGTTTTCGCCTTGCACCTGGAGTGTCTTCCAGCCTGATACTTTAGTGCTGGATCAGGAATTGTTCTCAATTGCTTCTTCTCTGTCCACTCTGTCCCTAAAACTCTTGCTGTCATGCTCTCTTGGCATTTGTTTTTGTAAGCTTTTTCTCTCAATTCTGTGGGATGTTCTTGAGTTTGTCTTCTGATCATACAGGTAGTCATCCTGCTCAATCCTGTCTTCTACTTACTAAATCAAAATTTTATACTTCATCCATTTATATCAAAATCAAGAGAATTTTGTTTTCCACCCAAATCCTTCCTCTCCTCTCATTATTTTGCCACACTCCAGACTCATCAACTCCATGTCCATATCCTTTCCTAGAGAAAATAACTGATTTTTCTTAAATCTAGTCCTTTTTCCCCTAGAAACACGTTACGAAGTGTGCTCACCATTCACCTCTTCTCACCCTGCCATAC